CAGAGATCCAGCTATTGATAGAGGAATTAGTCGATGTTCGGATGAGGCTGCCTCCCTCTGGGAACGAGTGTTAATAGCCGTGAAGGAAAAGTATCCCTTCAAAAATGGCTTGAAGATTGCAATGAAAAAATGGGATACAGTTGAAAAGGGTATCCAGTATTTGAGGGAAATAGGCGTGGTGGAAATGTTGTATGACCCTGACTTTGTTCCTAACCAACCACACCAAAACCGCGACCCTGAAAGAGTGAGGACAACGCCTGAGATATGGCAGAAAATTGTGACAACAGCGCCGGACAAATATGCCGCTACACTAACGTCAGCGTGTGACAGATACCAGGAACAACAGAGAGCACCCTTAGTTTATGAATTAATTCTTACGCTCCAAAACTACGAACAATTGCTGTCCCCAATTCATTCTGCCGTTGCTGCAATATCAAGAATGACAGAGCAAGTGTCTCAACTGATTAACCGTGACAAACCTGTAGCAGTATCAGAAACGCTTGATGAAGATCAGGATAATCAAAAGAGTCTAATGAAGGAGATGAAGGAGGTGAAGGAGACGGTGAAATTTTTGCGAGCCCACCTAACTAAAGACGATGAACCTTCCTTCTTACGTGCACGATCAAAAATCTCAGCTGTTAGAGGCAGACGCTCTCCGGCTCAAGTAAGGAATAATACACCGCGAATTACCTTATGGTATTACCTACGTGACCATGGAGAAGACATGGGGAAGTGGCACGGTCAACCTACTCCTGTACTACGAGCCCGGGTGAAAGAATTACAAGGCAGATCTACCACCAGTGCAGTTGCTCCAGTTACCACAGGTAATGAATAGAGGGGCCCTGCCCTCAGTCAGGGGGGGGAAAGGGATAATAGAGTATATTGGACTGTGTGGATTCGATGGCCTGGCACATCAGAACCACTGAAATATAAGGCCCTGGTGGACACTGGTGCACAGTGCACTCTGATGCCCTCGAGTCATGAAGGGACAGAATCAATCCATATTTCTGGAGTGACTGGGGGCTCTCAAGAATTGACTGTGTTGGAGGCCGAGATAAGCCTCACTGGTAAGGACTGGCAAAAACATCCTATTGTGACGGGCCCAGGGGCTCCATGTATACTAGGGATTGATTATCTCAGAAGGGGGCATTTCAAGGATCCTAAGGGGTATCGATGGGCCTTTGGAATAGCTGCTGTGGACACAGACAACATTAAGCAGCTGTCTGTTTTGCCTGGCCTGTCAGAAGATCCATCTGTTGTGGGGCTGCTGCGAGTAAAAGAGCAACACGTACCGATTGCTACAAAAACGGTGCACAGGCGTCAGTACCGCACCAACAGGGATTCTTTGCTCCCCATTCATAAGTTAATTCGTCAACTAGAGTGCCAGGGAGTGATCAGCAAAACTCACTCGCCTTTTAACAGCCCCATATGGCCAGTGCGTAAAGCCAGTGGAGAATGGAGGCTGACGGTGGACTACCGTGGCCTGAATGAAGTCACACCCCCACTGAGTGCTGCTGTGCCAGACATGTTAGAACTCCAGTATGAACTGGAGTCAAAAGCGGCCAAATGGTATGCCACCATTGACATTGCTAATGCCTTCTTTTCCATCCCTTTGGCCAAAGAATGTAAGCCACAGTTTGCTTTCACATGGAGGGGCATTCAGTATACCTGGAACCGTTTGCCCCAGGGGTGGAAACACAGCCCGACCATTTGCCATGGGTTGATCCAAACTGTATTGGAACAGGGCAGTGCTCCTGAGCACCTGCAGTACATTGATGACATCATTGTGTGGGGCGATACAGCAGAAGAAGTCTTCACAAAAGGAGAGAGAATGATCCAAATTCTTCTGAGTGCTGGTTTTGCTATTAAGCGAAGCAAAGTGAAAGGACCTGCCCAGGAGATTCAGTTCCTAGGTATAAAGTGGCAAGATGGCCGTCGTCACATCCCGACAGATGTGATCGACAAAATCACTGCTATGTCTCCACCCACTAGCAAAAGAGAGACACAATCTTTTCTGGGTGCAGTGGGCTTTTGGAGAATGCATGTTCCAAACTACAGCCTCATTGTAAGCCCCCTTTATTATGTGACGCGAATGAGAAATGAGTTTACATGGGGCCCTGAGCAGCAGCAGGCTTTTGAACAGATTAAACAGGAGATAGCCCGTGCCGTGGCCCTAGGGCCAGTACGAACGGGACAGGGTATAAAGAACATCCTCTACACTGCTGCTGGAGAGAATGGTCCCACTTGGAGTTTGTGGCAAAGAGCCTCAGGAGAGACCCGAGGCCGACCCCTGGGATTCTGGAGTCGGGCGTACAGAGGGTCTGAAGAGCACTACACTCCAACTGAGAAGGAGATCTTAGCCGCTTATGAAGGGGTTCGGGCTGCTTCCGAAGTAGTTGGTACTGAAACACAGCTCCTTCTGGCACCACGACTGCCAGTGCTGAACTGGATGTTTAAAGGAAAGGTTCCCTCCACCCATCATGCTACTGATGCCACTTGGAGTAAGTGGATTGCACTGATTACACAACGAGCACGGATGGGGAACCTCAGCCATCCAGGAATCCTAGAGGTCATCATGGACTGGCCTGAAGGTAAAAGGTTTGGAACACCACCAGGAGAAGAAGTATCACGTGCTAAAGAAGCCCCACCATACAATGAACTACCAGAGAATGAAAAGAAATATGCCCTGTTCACAGATGGATCGTGTCGTATTGTGGGAAAGCATCGCAGATGGAAAGCTGCTGTGTGGAGCCCCACAAGACAAGTTGCAGAGGCCACTGAAGGGAAAGGAGAATCAAGCCAATTTGCAGAGGTAAAGGCTGTCCAACTGGCCTTAGATGTCGCTGAACGGGAGAGGTGGCCAATGCTCTATCTTTACACTGACTCATGGATGGTAGCAAATGCCTTATGGGGGTGGTTACAGCAGTGGGAGCAAAATAACTGGCAAAGAAGGGGTAAACCTATCTGGGCTGCTGAACTGTGGAAAGACATTGCTGCCCGAACAAAGACTATAGCTGTAAAGGTGCGCCATGTAGATGCTCATGTGCCCAAGAGTCGGGCTACTGAAGAACAGCAAAATAACCATCAGGTAGATCGAGCTGCCAGAATTGAGGTGGCTCAAATAGACCTGGACTGGCAGAACAAGGGTGAATTATTTCTGGCTCGGTGGGCCCATGAGACCTCAGGTCATCAAGGGAGAGATGCAACATACAAATGGGCTAGAGACCGAGGGGTGGACTTAACTATGGATGCCATTGCACAGGTTATTCATAACTGTGAAACATGTGCCATCATCAAACAAGCCAAGAGGATGAAACCTCTGTGGGAGGAAGGGCGATGGCAAAAGTACAAATATGGGGAGGCATGGCAGGTTGATTATATCACCTTGCCACGATCTCGCAATGGTAAGCATTATGTGCTTACTATGGTGGAGACAACCACTGGGTGGCTTGAAACATATGCAGTACCCCATGCTACCGCCTGGGTCTCGAGAAACAAGTCCTGTGGCGACACGGCACCCCAGAAAGGATTGAGTCAGATAATGGGACTCATTTCAAAAATTCTCTTGTAAATACTAGTGCCAAAGATCATGGCATCGAGTGGATTTACCACATTCCCTATCATGCTCCAGCCTCTGGTAAAATTGAACGATACAATGGATTGTTAAAAACGATGCTAAAAGCACTGGGTGGCGGAACATTTAAGCACTGGGAGAAGCATTTGGCAGAAGCCACCTGGTTGGTCAATACCAGAGGATCTATTAATCGTGATGGTCCTAACCAATCCAGTTCCCTACATACCGTAGAGGGAGATAAAGTCCCTGTTGTACATGTAAAGAACATGTTAGGAAAGGCAGTTTGGGTTCTTCCAGCTTCTGGAAAGGGCAAACCTCTCCGTGGTACAGTTTTTGCCCAGGGACCAGGATCCACTTGGTGGGTAATGCAGAAGAATGGGGATGTCCAGTGTGTACCACAAGGAAACTTGATGCCGGGGGAGTGCAGTTACTAATTCTATGTATATGTATATAGCCATGTGTGCATTTTAATCATTTTTTGTTTGTTTGTATATATGTATATATATTTTAAGCATGATGTAACGATGTAGAATAAGGGGTGGAATGTCATGGTTCTATGTTTTTTGTTTGTTTTTTTGTTTTGTTTTGTTTTTGGGTTTCAGTATTCCACATCAAAACATCATGTAGTGTACGGGGCATTAAAGTGTCACTGCCCCAATTCCAAGTACCTATCCCTGTACATTACAGAAGTCACGGGATCTGGCCCTTCCGGGTGGGGGGGGGGCGCTCTCTTGCTGCCTGGCAGTGGGTGCTGGAGGGTGCTTTCCTAGCCGTTCCAAGCTTTTCAGGTTTGAATCGGTCCCGGGAACTCTCTCTCTCTCTCTCATCTTGTCTGATTTATTAATCTCAGTTGCAATTAAATTGTATCTATTGTGTTATCTTGTATTCCAATATTATAGTAAAATAAGTTTTCCTCCATAGATTGTTGCCGCTGTTCTTTTCCTCCCTTCCTTCCTTCCCATTTTTGTGGGACTGGGGTGGGGGGGAGGGCAGAGGCCTGTCGCCCCTGTCACGGACATAGATTGATCTGGTCAAATCCGTGACAGGTTTGAAACAAATGACAACTAGATTAACAAACCACACTCATCGCCTTTTTATCTTGATTCATGGCTATCTCTTCTTCCCCTTATGAAGTTTAATTAAGAGGAATATCTGTTTCAAATGCTCTTTCCACATTAAACATGTGAATAGTACTACTCTACCGTCCTACATCAGTCTGGGATCCAGAAGGTACTCCCCCTATAAAAATGAAATTATTGTACCTTGTCTGTAACATGAATTAAAAATCACAAGTGTGGTCTTGTTTTCAGATTTAATCTGTTACTGATAACATGACCATGCATGCATACTTGTATAATTGTTAATGCACAACCAGTTCTTTAATTTACATAAATAGAGAAATATAAAAAACAAAGGAGACAACTACCTGCTTGTGTATTTGCACAGCTGAGCCCTAAGATCACAATATCCACAGGGGTTGCCAGAACAAGTAAGTGTCGTACGTGAGGCTGAAATATGCCTAAAGAAGGAAAAAAAAACAAATTTTACTTTGCAGTCAAGCTCGCAAGACTCACAATGATTGTATCCACCATATTAATGAGATGCAGCAGATGGTTAGAAGTAACAGTCATTTCTGAGGGAAGTGGGGCTGATTAGTCTGGAGAAGAGGAGGCTGAAGGGAGACTTTATTTCTCTCTTCCAATACCTGAAAGGTGCTTACAGTGAGAGCGCGGTTGGTCTCAAGTTGCGCCAGGGGAGGCTTAGGTTGGATATGAGGGAACACTTGTTTACACAACGGGTTGTTAAGCACTGGAATAGGCTCCCCAGGGAGGTGGCTGAATCACCATCCCTGGATGTGTTGAAAAACCGTTTGGATGTGGTGCTCAGGGACATGATTTAGCGGAGGGTGGTTAGTTAGGGTAGTATGGTTAGGTTGTGGTCTAGAAAATTCTAGAGCTACAAAGGAGTAATAGTCAGCTGTTCAGCTTCCACTTCATGAAATACAAGAACTCAAAAACATTTTTTTCTTAAAAACACTTTTTTCTTAATTAACTACAATTCCTTTAATTAACTACAATTCTCAATTATAAAGCTACTTCAATGTCTATTTAAATATTATGTCACATTATTAGGTATCAGATGAACTGCAAGCGCTAGAAATCAGAATCTCTAGGAAGTTATTGTGGCAACGTATTAACAGCACAAATGTTAGTACGACATGAGATTTCTTCCAAGCTCATCAATGTGATCTTAACATTAATTTTCACCTGTAATTTATTAGATGTTTCTAAAAACAAAACAATTTATCTTGCATATATACCAAGTAAAACACAGGTTTTTACAGAAATACATACAAAAACCACATATAAAAGATCAGTTACTTTTTAAGTCTAATTGCTGTCATATACTTCTTACCTCCCTTTGGCTTTACAAGACCCACTGCAAGTATAGTTTCACTAAGGCCATCAAAGTAAGTCAGATCGCCACTGTTAACAAAACAGGAAAAAAAACCCATGCAATTGCATAAGCCGTGTCAGATGTCACATAGTAGCAAAGTAAACAATATCAGATACCCATATTTTAGAATTCTTAGTACTTTTTAAAACATTTTGAATACATATTGTTATGTTTGAAAGACATCTTCCCCCTTTTGCTTTAGGTGAAAACAGATCCAGCAGAACAGAATGACAAATCTCTCTAAGGGAAAATTTTAAACCTGAAATCAAACTGTACTATTTTATGGTTTTGGTTTTAGTTAATTTACACAGTCCACTCTGAATTACATTAACTAGCATCTGTAATGATAATTAACATCTAGAGAAAGGAACATATATGGCATCTTTTTTGTATCAAAAAATATCTATCAAAAAGAAGTTCCAACCTCCTCCCTAGCAACCTAACACCATAAAGAATTCTATTACCTGGTAAATAGTTAATTAACATGCTTTATGACACAACGGAAACGTAAGGGGAGGAGTGATGTGAGGATAAAACAAAACACAACAAATTCTATAAAGAAATTCTTAATATTCATACATATAAAAACCACTAGAAAATAAGCAGAAAAAAAGAATCTGACAAATCTGGATATTAAAAACTGCCATTTGAAATGGTTATTAGATTATTTTCAATTTTATGCATCCCTCAAATAAGTTACGCAGGAAAGCTTCCATCACACAACCTTAAAAATAATTAAGAGTATACAGCCACACTCCTATCCTAAATAACCACTGATCACTATACTTACCCAATCTACTTAGAAGAGTCAGACACAGGATTTATAGGATATCATCTAATGCTGAAATCTAAGAAAAGGTACTTTAAGTAGTTCTTAGTAGTTTAAGTAGTTCTTTCATCTCTAGAGAATTTGTCAACATTATAACTCTCAAAACTCCTTCAACACTTGCTACTCAGAAGTTTTAGTAAAAAACTAAAAGAAATCAAGGTAACTTCAACAGAACAGCACACCTCTGCATTGCAGGTAAGCAATCTCCAACTATAACAATTGCTTAGTTAAGACATAATTATCAACATTATATAATCCAGAACATGTTCTAAACATACCCATCTTCATAGTTCCACATAAAAATGTCGCTGTCAATTGTTAGCCAAGCTCTGCTGATTTCTGGGAATACTCCCATCATGCAATTGCATTGCATATCTGAAGTAATACTGATGTAAGGAAGAAATGAGTTCAGACCAGCAAAGGCAATCTCCTTTGGAATATTAAAAAAAACCAAACCTGCTCTAGATAGAACAGTACACAAACTATGTACCATAAGCGCCTGGAGTTCCTTATACAGGAACTAATTCCACCAGCGTCTCTACACAAATTGACCTTATTACCACTTGGAGCCTTGAAATAAGAATATAAACAATATCAAAGTTCATTAATAGGAGTCTGACAGAAGTATTAGGGAAAAAAGATTATAAAAGTGTAGAAGTTCAATACTAGTACTGTCACATACAAAACCCAACACATTATTTTTCAGCAGGATACGTCCAAATTGCTCCACTAGCTCTGGGGGAAGTGGGACTCTGCGAACCGAGCTGATTTCTGGAAGATTAGGGATAGACAGCAAGCCTGGACCTTGCAAAGGATAATCCATATCTGTCATGCCAGAAACAGTAGGGCTACCTGCAATTAAGAACAACAAAAAATAGTGTTCCTATAAATAATTGGATGTTTTCACACACAGAAAGAAAATTCTCTATTTTCCTCAATTTTTTTTCTTTTCCTAATCTGTGAAAATCTGAAAAGATTTACAAACTAACTACTAGAATAATTAATCTGGCCCCAAGCGACTTTTTATGCTGTTTTCTCCAAGATCCTCTCTTGCCCTTTTTTCATTTATTGCCTATGACCTGGCAATAAATGTCATGTGAGCAAGCCAGGAGATACTCATTCACCTAGAAAAAGTGTATTCTTAGCTCTTAGCATAAAGTTAAACTTCCCAAGGCTCTATATTATCTTATGTAATGCAACTCTCTGATGGCACAGGCAACTACACTTCGGCTACGCACTCATACTTTTATCTGAAGGCATCCCAACACCCACTGGATGCACACTGACCAGATCACCCACAGTGCCTCCTTACTGCTCACTCATACAGACTGGTGGTTGTACGAAGTAGGAAATGCTGCTGTGACGTTTCAGAAAGGACACAGCATTTGAGAAAAGCTACACCCTACATCTTAACTAGGAAAGGCTGTTCTGAAAGTAATGCTTCCTATTTTGTTAGCCAGAACATAAGTGGATGTTGGAGTATGGCAGCAGACACTGAACCTTCCTGCCAATATTCCATTGCATTTTCTTGCCCTCTGACAGATGGCAGCAGCGGGGGAGTCTGACAAAATGGCATCTGACATGGAAGTGCATGGGAAGCAAAGATGTGTCACTGAATTTCTCCATGCCAAAAAATGGCACCCACTGGCATCTTTCATTGCTTGTTGAATGCCTGTGGCGACCAAACAGTGGGTGTGAGTACAGGAAAATGTTTCAGCAGCAGTGGTGGCTGCAGGTCACCTCTGCTGGAGCAGATTGTGGCATGCAGGTTCATTTTCACGACTGGTGAAAATGTATAGCTAATGATGACAACTATGTTGACAGTGTTTTGTAGCTAGGAATTTGCCCTATCAAATAGTGTTATTTTTCTCTATGTAACTCTTGCATTTTCCTTTAATCAAAAAGGAGGCATTTCTTTCAGAGCAACCTAACTACACGTGACATGTGGCTACTGAGAAATCAAAGTCATTCAAAGTAGCCTGAGAAAGTGAGGCTGCCCGTGCTTTCAGGATGCCGCTGGATGCCTGGCAACACGAGGCGCACCGCACAGTGGAAACCAAACGCCCAAATCCCTTCGGGGGAGACAGGACCTAGGAGCGGTACATGTCCGCTTCTCACACTGCGCTGCCACTATTACGAGGCCCGGTCGCGACAGATCCAGTCCCGCTACCGCCAGGGCCTCGAGGGACCATGACGGCCCGGGGCGGGAGGTGGAGCCCGGGCTCGCGAGGCTGCCCTGCGAAAGGCGGCGGGAGGGGAAGCGGGAGCGGGGCGGCTGAGGCGACGCACGCGAAGGTTGACGGGGCGCTGCTTACCGGGCGCGGGCACGGCCAGCAGCTCGGACAAGTCCGGGTAGCAGCGATCGTCTTGGATTTGTCGATCGAGGATGCGGCCCGCGATCTCCAGCGCCTCGTGCCCGGCGGGCGCCGCGGGGCTGATGGCAGCAGGCATGGCGGCGGCGGGGCCGAGCGGAGGCAGCGGGGCCGGGCGGGCGGTGGCGGGGCCGAGGAGCGGCGGCGGAGCCGAACGGGCGGTGCCGCCCCCGCGCACACAGACAGCGCGAACCCGCCGCTCCGCACCCCGCCAAATCCCGACAGGCCTCGCGCGGCTGACGCAGTTCCGCCTTCCGGAGATGGAGGGAGGGGAGGG